CTTTTAACTTAATATATTTTCCAAATTAATTTTTTTTTCCAAAACATTTTTTTTTTAAAATTATATAGGAAACGCGCGTAATTATAGTTTTAATACTTTAAATTTTGAAAAGTTATTTTACCGATTTAGATGATTTAAACGATTTTAAATTTTGATTTGCCGCTCGGTCGAGTTTAAAATTTGGAAAGTTTGGTTGTACGTTGTTTTGTTCACGGGTGTGGGTACTAGATACTCCTATATTGGGGAACATTTGCATCACTACTAGATTAAACATATTACGTTTGTTTTTAAATATACGTATCTAGTGTGCAATGCTCAATCCAAAACGTTCGACAAACAAAATTTCAAATTGCCCGGCGTGAGGTATATCCTCTGTAACCAAAAAGTTACTAAAAAATTGGTTTATTTTTATTCAAATTAATATTAACTGTTCATAGATATTCACAAAATTGTGTTTTGCGATGTATTAAAAAACGGTATACTAAATAATAATTAGAGTAAATATATTTTTAAGGAAGTGTGTTGAAAAAATTAAATATATAACAATATATGTGGTACATTCAGCTTATTGTAACTTATTGCTGTAGGAGGAATATTAGTCAACTCTGCTAATATGCAAGGAGATCCTTTAACAAAAGTGAGTATTTTATATATTATTTAAAATATACACGCATATATTAATTTATTTTTTGGGTACGGGAAGTTCCTGCAATTTTTGTTAAGGTACGATGCCTTGCACCACTAATTTATGTATAAATCTGTTGAGTCATTGTGATGCAGCAATTACTACGTTTATATTATTAATTGCTTTCAGACCGGAAGGCGGTATACGCGTCCCGAAAGCCGAAATGGTTTGCAAGATGAGTACCTGTCGCTGAATATTCCTCGTCGAACGGCCTACTCGAATGTCAAGCAGCCTCAACGCTCCAGCTCAGCAGCCGGATCCGCTGCCCACGGCACGCTCTACGTTTCTCCGCAACACCAGTATACCGAACAGCAGCAAGCTGGACGTAGCGATACCGCTTGTCGCAATTCTATGCGAATCAATTGATTCAACCAGGAATACCAGTACTCCGTCGATTTACTGCGATACGCCATCAACAGCCACTGCTTATGGTCAGTACAATAACATTTTTGCAAGCTCTATGCTTTTGTAGTGCTATCTTTCTTGCATATACGTGATGTGACATTATTTTTTGCTTAATGTAATATTGTTGATGCATTTCAATGCAAACTCGCTTGATGAGTAGAGATCGGCCCAGAATCGAACTCGTTAAGCAACAATTTAGTTG